ATATACAGATGGGTAATATCCGATATCTATATAATTAGTTCCTCTGGACATTGGTGACCACCCGTTGCGATATCGCTAATGCCAGTCGGATAATATATTCATTACGAGCGCATTTTTCTTTTTGATATTATATATTGGATAATAGATATCTAATATATCTGTTATTGGTCCAATATATGTATAGATATTGTAACTACAATATTAGGCGTGAATTTACTGGGTACAGAGGAATAACACCTGAGTCCTCAGGAATGGCAACACATGGGGGGTATCATGGGCGATATATAGATATTGCTAGATATTATTACCCACCCTTAGAATATCATGTATCACCCATGCCCTTCATACGTTGCCATTCCTGAGGTCATATTTCAAAATGCAACACACCCAAACAAACACAACTGCTTCACGGCAGAAACATAAATAGGACAGTGTATATATTTACAGATATATTTTGAGTGAATTTCTTTTAAAAATGTTGCATGTCGAACTGGCTGAATGTTAAGGGTGGCCAATTATAACACTATCTCGATTAACCACGTTCGTTGCTAATACATTTCTCTTCGTTTCATTTCGTCTCGTCTCGTTTTGGTTTGTTTTATTTAATTTTTGTTTCATTTCATTTCATTGCAAGCTTTTACTTAACTTGCATTTTTATGTTGATTTTTCCGTTCAGAATTTGCAGACTCTTTATTAACCGCTTGCTGGCGTCCGATTAAATTGAAATTTTGCATATTGGTGAAAAAAAATTGCATTGTTCTTGTATTAGTCTTTAACTGTCCACTGCTGAACATGGCCTCCCCAATAAAGAGGGGGTTTGCTAGTATTTGCCACGCTTAGCAGGCAAGTTGGCAACTGCAATTTGGCTTTTGGTGATGTTTTAAGAGGGACGCTGTTGACCATCCCTCCACCATGAGTTCCCTTAGTCTCTTACGACATCTACAAGTTCTTACGACACCTGTAAGTTCGGCGATGATATATATTTCGATACAATCGAGCTGGACTGATGACGAAGATGGAAGGCCAAAGGACCTCGTAAGCTACGCATGATAAATCCATCGTGTTTTAGCTTGTTTGATTTGTCTTATTAAAAATTATAGCTCTATACAATAGCCAGATTCTAATGAGAGGTTTGAAAATTACAAAACTTTGTTTTTAAATTGCTTATTAAAATTATGGAGTACGTAAATATAATGAATATCTGGCAAGTACAACATCGTTTTCAAATAACAAATAAAATCTTTATTTACATTATGAATATTATGAGGGGGGGAAGGGATTGTTAGTAACGGGGAGATTAGCCCCCATTGCTATCAATGTACCCTATTATCGTCACTAATTTATTGTTGAATTCGTCACGATGGGCTAACTGACCTGCCTTTCAATCCTCACCAGTCATCCCTCAACTGGTGCTTCGCTAGCGTATACCGATAACATAGGCGAGGTTACCATGCCATTTTCACCCATTAGAAAAACATTTATTTATTTTATACTTTTGCACACATTGAAAAATGTCTACAGGGCGGACTTAATGCCTAATGGCATTCTCTACCAGTCAACCACCACGTTAAACAGAGAGAGAGATAATGTTCACGAAGGGACTTTTTGAAGGAAAATTTGGTTAGGGATATGAAAGTGTATTAATAACTTAAGCATCATTTAAATTGAAATAAAAAAGCCACTTTCTATAATCGTACGGCTCGCCATCGACAGGGAATTCACCCTCATACCTTACAGCCTAAATGGTCGCGTACAACGCGGTTTCAGAGATGTTTTCTCCCACAAACACTCAGGTTATGGAATGAGCTCCCTGTCGATGTTTTCCCAAGAGACTACAGCATGGGGTTCTTCAAAAGGGGGGTAAAGAAGTTTCTTCAGGGTCGGCAACGCGCGCGTAATACCTCTGGTATTGCAGGCGTTCATAGGCTACGGTAACCGCTTACAATCAGGTGGGCCGTATGCTTGTTTGCCACCTCAGTGATATAAAAAAGAAACAAAGTGAACTAATTTTTTGTACTATAGATATAAATATACGTATTATTGATTACCTATATGAACGAGCCTTTACTATTTTGATACGATGCAGTTTTTAACCTGTTTGCTTCAATTGCATAACTGTATTTATATTATGATGGGATATCACGTTTGTAGGTTAAATGCTTCAATAAAATAAATGCCGTATTTATTCATCAACATCGTTCTTGTAATTGATGATTTTATATCTGTATAGTCATTATCTTTGACACGATCATTACATGATCAAGTGTAGTAGATGACAGTAAAGTATAGTAATTGAGACCTAGACCATCTAGACTAACCGATTGTGATGACGCCTTTTGTACTTTTATATATATATTTTTATTTGTACTTTATACTAGATAGATAGATAATTTATTTACATTACTTACAGCACACAAATAATAACATAAACATATACATAATACAGACATATACAGTAAAAGAGATAAAAGAATGAAAAACAAAAAAAGCAACAAAAAAAAAACAAAATATATAAAACAACAATTTCCTTCTTTCATGCGTGTGCCATAGTAACACAAAATGGTTACAACTCAGTTTATTGCTTTACCCTCAAAAGAGCAAAACACTGATATTCTGTTGTGGCCAAGACTGTTATATACTCCACTCTTTGGAATCAACTTCCAGCAGCAGTATTTCCGAACCGATACGACAACATAACCTTCAAGAAAAGAGCATATTCCTTTTTAAAAGGCCGGCAGCACGCCTGCAATGCCGTAGGTGTTGTGGGTGACCATGGGCGGCGGTAGTCACTTACCATCAGGTGAGCCGCATGCTCGTTTGCCCCCTGTGTTGTAAAAAAAAAATATTACTGTATTTCACTTAGTTTTTCTAATTATCATTTTATATTTTATTATTTTTGGTGCAAGTAAAGAATAAAATAATAAATAAATGTGATCAGATAGATCGTGTTCTATCTAAGGGAGTTAAGAGTCCGGAACCGGCGTGCAAACATGAGACTAGTTATGATATAATACAGTCTTTGGTACTTGGTTCTCTCTGCCTACCCCGCATGGGACTTTTTTTATACAACTTATAATGGCAAACAAGCTGACGGCCCACCTGAAGGAAAGTGGTAACCGTCGCCTATAAACATGATCAGTACCATGGACACAGAGAATACAGTACAATAACACCTGAATCCTCAGGAATGGCAACGCTTGGGAGGTATCATGGGCGAAACAGTATACTCTGTTATGTCCAAGGTACCGCTCATGTTTATAGGCGACGGTTACCACTTTCCATCAGGTGGGCCGTCAGCTTGTTTGCCATTCTAAGTTGTATAAAAAAAGATGCAACTGAGATCCCGTTAGCGAAGTGTAATTAGTTCCGAGGATTTTGGAACAGGGCATTATCTAAAAAAAATCATTCAAGCCGAAACAGCCGTACAAGCTAAGTTATCATGGGAGGTAGCTGTACTTCGATTTTATAGGTTGGTTATAACATAATCTCAGATTATATAAATAGAGCGTCTCCATAGAAATGTTTCGAAAAAAATGGGTCAACTTTTTCATACAATATTGCGTGATAAATAGTTATGAGTGATTCCTTTATAACTTCTATATTTATTTCTCGAATGCTGTATCTATATAATCTAAGAATACAACGAAATTACAGAATACTCAGGCATACAATCTACACATGTATATTCCCGTTTTTATATTAGTATACAAATTCTATACATATGTTACTTTCTCTCGTTTGTCTACTTAGATTTTCCTTACATTATGTTCCCATATGTGTAAGCCGAAGTAAATGAAAAGAAGACATCGAAATATACTACGTACAGCCGCGCCGCCATATTAAGATCACACAGTAGATAAAGCTTGCATTACACTGCTAGCTAAGCTAACTGAATTCGATGCTGATTCAACGCTTGACGGCCAAGCGTGGCAACTGCAAGCAAAACCCCCCTACAGGGAGGCTTATATAACAGTGGACAGTTAAAAGCTAATATGATGATGATGATATACTTTACTGAAATATTTGTCATTTTAACATATTGTTAAATTAACAAATATTTGTTTGTCAATTTAACAATTTGTTTGGTTGTAAAACTGCTTTTATTTTTTATTTAATAATATGACCTAATTCTTAATTATATACTAAAGCTGTTATAAATAATAGATTAGTATTAAAAAGGCCATTGTATCATGCAATAATATTCTATTATTATTAAGCTGCCACTGAAAATTTATTTGATAAATTCTTAAGCAAAATATAAAAAAAGTTTTTATATGCAAAATATTCTGTGATTAACATTTTTATTCGGTAGCAGAGCACTTTTGAAATTATATATTCCCTTCAGAACCCTTCAAAATTATTGTTTTTAAAAATTGACAGATAATTGTGATCTTGCCACACTTCGATAAGCCAAAAGGATGAACGTTCTTGAAACTACTTATCATAGGGTCAAGTTTATTTGAAATATTTTCTTTTCTGTTTTTAATAATATATGAATAATTCTGGACATAAACATAGTGCATCATCTAGTCCAAAAACTAAGTACAACTTGTTCTAGTTCTATACACATGTACTAGATGATTGATAGACGAATCAAATACGAATGGATGTAAGTGATCTAATAATTTGTCTGAAAATACCTCGTTTAGAGGTGCAATACGTGTCGCAAAACGTGCGTGAACAAAATGGCAGTCGGAGATTGATGGCTTATATGGAAGGTTATGTAACTTCTGGTAGTAATAGTGGTGGTCAATCTTCGAGTGTTGGCAGTCACACACATATAAATGATAGCAGAATTAAATACAATGATTCTTATCAAATAAACAGTAATATGAACTTTCACAAGATAACAAGATAACACCTAGTTCAGTAAAATATTTACAATTGAACACGTTAAAAATGCTCAGATATATACAAACGTACATATAAGTACTTATGAATATAAATATTTATGTGACTATAAAGATTATATAATTATACATAATATTTCTATTGTGCAGGGATCGAACCCGCAGCCATTGGAAAGCGACGGAGTGTTAAACCGCTACACCACCGAGGTAACCAAAATTTTAAATGTTATCTTTTTAAACTTATAGCTTGTTATGGAAAGATGCTTAAAAGCACCGCCTAAAATGTTGAAAGTGTAACATAACTTTAGTTACTTAGACGACAAGCCATTGTCAAAAGTGAGAATACTAATGAAGATTCTTAATTTTATTTTAAAAACGCTGAAACCTTTCGCAAATAAATTAGTATGTAGTACAAAAGAAAGCTGTGTGGTCCCGGCAAAGAATGGGCCACCTGTGGGTGTTGTAAGAGACGACTAAGGGAACTTAAAGGACGAGGAATGGGCAGCAGCTTCCCTCTTTAAACATCACCAAAGCCTTTTTTTTTATACAACTTAGAATGGCAAACAAGCTGACGACCCACCTGATGGAAAGTGGTATCCGTCGCATATAGACATGAGCAGTACCATGGACATAACAGAGTATACTGTTTCGCCCATGATACCCCCCATGCGGTGCCATTCCTGAGGATTCAGGTGTTATTCCTCTGTACCCTGTAAATTCACGCCATATCCCACCCTTCGAACCGAAACACAGCCATGCAAACACAACTGCTTCACGGTTGAAACACGAATGGGACAGAGGTACTCAAGCAATCGACTTTTGTACAAAGTCTCCCTCTGGTAAATGTAATAATAATCCCTAAATGCGGTTGCCAATCCGCCTGCCAAACGTGGCATCTACTAGCAAAACTCCCCCTATCGGGGAGGCCTATATTCAGCAGTGAACTGTTAAAGCCTGATACAATGATATGACACGAGAACACTAATTTCATTGCATTTTTTTTTTATTTACACGTATAATAGTAGTTTAAAAATGTTCTATGATGTGAAATGACAAATTATTGCTAGTGTGGAAATCCTTAGTAATATTTTTTATAAGCTTTTTTTTAATGGGTGATAATGGAATGGTAACCCCGCCTGCTCTATCGGTATACGCTGTTGGGCCCCAGTGAGAAATGATAGGTGAGGACGAAAGCAAGTCAGTCGGCCCATCGTAATGAATTCCATACGAATTAATTATGACGCTTTCCAGAGGTAACCGGCCAGATGGTATATTGACGATGGGGCTGTGTTAGACCTTATTATCAACAATTCTTTTTTCCACTTTGGGTTTGCTGGAAGAGGATCTCTCTTAGTGTTAAGCTCGCCTTTACATATTTATTTACCTCTGTCATATTTTTCATTATAATTCGTGTGTACAATAAAGTATAAATAAATAAATACTGTATTAGTATGTCAGTCAGTTCTCCATTAAATATATGATTTGTATGAAAGAAAAGAGAGAATATGGGAAAATAATATTTAAAAAGCAACTTATATATACGTATATTATCATCGTGAAAAGTCCATATCTATTTGTTTTCACTTTTAAATTCAATGAAAACAATCAGATATCCCGTAACAGAATTTTCCGGTCCTTTAATGTATTTCTTTGAAAATTTTGCCGTTGAAAGGGGATCCCTTTGGCTAAATTAGAAAGGGCACAAAGAACAAATAATGTCGATTCCGCTCATTTTGTTATCATATTAAAATCTGATGTTTAAATAATCAGATAGAACGGAAGTTTAAGTAAACCAATTTTTTTATATTTTTAAATATAATTTTCATTAACTTGTACACGTGAACGATCGTTCATTTGATGAAAAGTAGTAATATTTATATTGGTAGTACAGTGGAGTTATTTATTCTTTATTGCACAATAAAATTTGCACAAATGGCGAGCTTAATGCATTTAGCTTTATGGAATTCTCTACCAGCTAACCATTAGATAAGAACAGAAAGTGTTTGAGGTTGGTGGCCAACTTACATTACACAAAAAAATTAATTTACCTATTTATAAAAAAATACATTTTTGTCTACTTTCATTTGGTCAATTATGTATATACATATGTATGGTTTTGTTAGTAATGCGGATTACCAGTCCCATTACTAGCAATATACTCTGTCAGGTCGACCTCCACGTGGTCCTACTGGAAACCGTCGTGGTTAATTTGTGTAAAATTCGTCACGAAGGGCCAACTGACTTGCTTTCGTCTTCACAGATCATCCATCACAGGAATCCTGCCAGCGTATACCGTTAGCGCAGGCGGAGTTATCTTAACATTTTTACTCAATAAAAAAAATCTCCTGCTGCTAGTAATATGCATCCTCATATTTCTAGACCGCTATATCGTTTTAAAGATTGAAATGTAATCTAGCGAGTCTCTAACGTAAATATATTATTTATGTAATTAAAAGATTGCATAGCTAGTAATTAATATAATTGTAGTCAATCTTGGTATTTCCGAACCGATACGACAACATAACCTTCAAGAAAAGAGCATATTCCTTTTTAAAAGGCCGGCAGCACACCTGCAATGCCGTAGGTGTTGTGGGTGACCATGGGCGGCGGTAGTCACTTACCATCAGGTGAGCCGCATGCTTGTTTGCCCCCTGTGTTGTAAAAAAAAAAAAGCTATGGATAGTAATCATAGAAGAAACGTAATATTATACTGTTTTAATTAAAGAAGATTATACAGAGCGAAATAATATAATTAAATGATATGTTTATATAGATAGATATTTAGGAATTACACATTATTCCCATGAACAGCCAGAACAAGCGGTTCGAAGCCATTTGCTTACATTGACTCTCAATAATACAATTGAAGCCAAAGTGATACGTCCATGTTGATTTTTTAAATTATATTTGGCGCCAAATTATTATTTTTTAACTAGAATTAGTTAAAAAATATGAGCACACATAAATTATACTGATAGAGTATCTAGTCGCAAAAAAAGAAGTTAAATTTTAGTATGATATTTGGGTGACTAAATTTTGACACAATTTTTTTTTAAATCAATACAAAATGCGACCTTTTTTTAGTATTGCAATCTTAGATAAAAAAAATTCAGTCTACTTTAAAATTTACTATTTTTTTATATAATATAATATATACATATATTGTAGATTATATCATAAATATTATATATACTATATTAAATTAAATTTATATATATTTTACATATATATATATATATATATATATATATATATATATATATATATATATATATATATATATATATATATATATATATATATATATATATTCTTCGAACAATTTTATTATCTATAACTGTGAACGAGGAAAAATTAACTCGGTATTACCTTTATAAAGAAATGTAAAATATTTTCATAAACGCAAATGATTTTCTATTAAAACGTAAAGTTAAATCGCAATAAAAATAAATTTAATGTTTGTATTTCCTTTTGCTGCAAACAGAAATTAAGATTCTCATTCGACTGTTATTTCTATTTAAATGAATTAAGTAAGTGATTGTATTTCGTTTTGCTAAAAACAGAAATATTTAGTATTTGAATGTTTCAAACTAACAAATTAATCAATATCAATGTTTTATAATAGAATAAGCTATTGTAAGTAGTCGTATTCACTTATGTAAAAGAAATAATAAATATTAGAACACATTATTAAATTAACAATTACACAATGTTAAGGTTCAACATGATTATAAATAAGTTAATTTATAATACTTAGTTATTTCTAGAAAGTTATAATAAAATAAATAAATAAAGTTATGAAACTAGGAGCGAGTCCACGAGCGCGCATTTGAATTAATTGTAAAAGTAGCGCCCTCTATTTTTAACGGAAAAATGCATCGTGCACTCGAACGTAAATTATAAGAATATAAAACCAGAATATTCAGTCCAACAACGACTGAGACATTGTACAGTACTGATGCGAGCTATAAATATAAGTGTAATTGAAAAATAAAAAATTATATATATATATATTATCTGTATAATATGTGTATAGTAGTATAAGCATAATAAATAAAAGCCTGCAACAAAAAGACACAAGAATTAGAACCCTTATAGGACTTAACTAATCCGTAGACATCTACCTGACTACCGAAGGACGTAAGCTTTTCCCATGAAATAGCCTTTCTACAGTTCGTTAAGCCACACATACACGGTGAGAATTTTACTTTGATCAATCTAACGATTAATCTCTGCGATTCGTTTGTTTACCTCGGCTTTTGAGATAGAAAGTATGATGGAAGATGTGGTATTAAGTCAATAAAAATAAAATTGTATTCTAAATGTTGCAGAGGAATATTTAGGATTCAAAACGATTCTTCAGGATCGGCAACGTGCACGTGACAGCCTTAATGTTTTTTTTTTTTTAATGAATGATAATGGAATGGTTACCCCACCCGCGCTATCGGTATACACCGGCGGGACACCAGTGTAGGATGATAAGTGACGATATAGCAAGTCAATTAGTCCATCATGACGAATTCTGGTTCACGTGGTTCCCCCTGGAAACCATCGTGAACAATTCTTATTGAATTCGTCACGATGGGCTAACTGACCTGTTTCATACTCACCTATCATCCTTCACTGGTGCCTCGTCGGTGTATACCGATAACGCGGGTGGGGTTACTATTTTATTATCACCTGTAAAAAAAAAAACACGATCTCACCATATTAGATTGATCGAACAATCTTATCATATTTTTTGTGAGTTTTTCGTTGCGATTTGCAATCGGTTATTCGATCAACGTATTAAATGTGATATTGCTGTACACGTCATCATATCATCATACCAGTCTTCAACTATCTACTGAATATAAGCCTCCCCCTTGGTTTTGCCAGTAGTTGCCACGTTTGGCGGGCGGATTAATACCCGCAGCTAGGGCTTTGTAGATGTTTTAAAATGTCCATCCTTTGCCGTCCCTTAATCTGCTCTTACGACACCCACGGGATAGGAAGGGGTTATTCTACGCCGGGACCACACGGTTATCATCATCATAATGTTAAGATGGTTTTAATGAAATACGACTGTTCATGTGCGATTAGTAATTCAAATTTAATCGAACGACTAACAATTACGATTGTCGCTCCGTGTATGGAGCCCTTTAGAGATCTCATGTAATATTGAATAGTTACTAAAGAATCCGTTTAAAGGAAAATACGTGTATTAC